CTCTCTCTCTCTCTCTCTCTCTCTCTCTCTCTCTCTCTGTGTGTGTGTGTGTGTGTGTGTGTGTGTGTGTGTAACTATTACACATGTAGCTACAATGAAGTTCCATGCTCCCTTTTGTGACCTTAGTGACTATGGTACACAGAATAATATTAGTAGCACTCAGAGCTGTCCCCATCTGTTTCTAGAACCTATGATTCTAGAGTTCCACATAGTCTTGGCAAGCTAAAGTTTGGGGTTGTAATTGCTGTATCAGATGTATTTCGTGGCTCAATCTTTCTTGGCTAGGTAGAAGAGTCAGGAGGTAGCAAGTGAGGCTGACACTCCAGCTCTGGAGAAATAGAATGAGTGGTGAGGCAGCTGGACTTGAGTCAGAACCACCAAAAAGGCTCCACTGTAAATTATTTAACTCACTTGACCTATGTGAGAGGCACTTAATTCAGTTAGCTTCCTTGACTTGAAGAAATTTAAAGTGGTTTAAAGTAATGTTTAATAGCCTAATATTAATGTGTAGCTTGAATGTTCAGATTCGGTATATAAATGAGTCAAGCAGCAGTTGTTCCTGTATGCATGCTGCAGTCGCATGCGTGGATCCATACCAAGGGCTTTGGCTCTTGAGTAGAAACAGCAGTTCAGAAGGTAGCTGAGAGTCAGAGGAAGGTCACAGCAAGGTCAGGAACAGTTCCTGCGGGATGTCACAGTACATTCTTACAGTTTACTCCTGTGGTCATTATTGGAGGTACATAATTAGATGCGTTCTTGAATCGTTTACTGACATTTTCAGCACTAAAATTACTGTGTTTTTGGATTGTCTGTGTGTGTGTTTGTGTGTGTGTGTGTGTGTGTGTGTGTGTGTGTGTAGGGGTTCTTAAGCGTCCAGTCTCCTAGTCAAAGGTATGAACCCCTGGGCCTTCACAAGGTTTCCCCAGGCCCTGGCCTCCTCCTGAAGCCAGTGCTCCAAGGCCAGCTGGAAGCTCTGCTGTCTGTGTGCTCTCTCTAATTCCCTGTACTTTCTCCCTGCCGATGCTGGCTAGCATATAGATTTGGATGGGGTAAATTGAAATCTGGGCTTTCTACCTTAATACTCTGATATTCTTCCCTTTGTTTTTTCAAAGTGAATTGCTCTAAGCAGCCTTCTTTGGCATTGAACCTGCAAGTTGCACTTTGATGTCTTATACTTAGCTATCAGCCAAGTTTCATTCACTCTTAGAACAAAGTACTCCATCCAAAGCACAAATAACCAAGTGTGTAGAAGGCTAATAAAGAGGCCTAGACTGGCCTCAGAAGTCAGTCCTGTTTATGCCACTGAGTTGGCTCACCAGCTGCATGGCAGCCTGGGTGATGCTCAGCCAGGTGCCTTGCCAATAGCAACTCAGAGAAAAGCATGTCTGTGAGCCTAAAACGTCCTTGAAGTAAGCCAGCACTGAACAGTCAAGTCAAGCAGTGTCCTTTTCCCTGCCTTATCAGGAGCACGGAAAGCCTGGAACCATCCAAGTGCCCCTCTCTGCTTGTTCCCCAGCCATACCCGCCTCCTCCCACGGTGTTTCTGCTGTTAGTCTTGATGTGCACAGATGCTAAAAGATCCACCTGGGCTCTTAGCCTTTTCCTTAGGGAAATCATACAGAAAAGAGGCTCAAAGTTTCCAGAGTACTTTGAAGAGAAATAATGCCCCAAGAACTCCCAGGAGTCCACATCCCTGTACCTTAACCCACCATGCCCAGCCCTGGTTATTCAGCAGGGAAACCATAGCATAAACTGGAAAGAAATTTTCACTTTTGGTTCTATCATTTTTTTCCCTTTAGTGTTCCATGTGGTATTTCTTGAAGTGGTAAGTTGACATGGTTCTAAGTCTCATCTGGCCTACTAAGTTTGGGGGTTTTTAATATTTTTATTTATTATTTTTATTTTATGTGTATGAATGTATTACCTGCATGTGTGTAAGTGCACCCATGTCCTGCACTGCCCACCGAAGTCAGAAGAAGGTGCTGGACCCCCTGGAAATGGAGTTATGAACGGTTGTTTGCCACCATATGGGCGCTGGGAAGCAAACCCAGGTCCTCTGCAAGAGCAGTCAGTGCTCTTAACCACTGAGCCATCTCTCTAGCCCCTAGCCTATTAAGTTTTAAAACCAAATACAGCCGGACATGGTGGCGCACGCCTTTAATCCCAGCCCTCGGGAGGTAGAGGCAGGTTTGAGGCTAGCCTGGTCTACATAGTGAGTTCCAGGACAGCTGGGGCTACAGGGAGACCCTATCTCAAAAAGACCAAAAAAAAAAAAAAAAAAAAAAAACAAATGCAGACAACTTGGGAAGAAAGCGCATTGAAAAAGAGAACAAAGAAAATGCATCAAATATTGATGTTATAATTTACATCTAAGATTTTTCAGCTTAGTCGTGAATCATATTTCTATTCAGAGTGGCCTGCTTTCCCATGCCAATGGTATGTTGTCTATATCTGTGTTCAAAAGAAGCTGTCAGTACTTCAGGTAACACTGTTCATTCTTTGTCTCTTTAGACTCCTTGACTTTACAAGGCATTGATTAGCACCCAAATAGCTCCATGCCTAAATTACACACTGCAGTGAGAGGCTGCTGTATTTTAGAAGTCTTATATTCTCAGAGGATTATTCATTGTAACCTCAAAAATCCCACTGTCTGTGGACTGGAGAGATGGCTCAGCAGTTAAGAGCACTGGCTGCTCTTGTTCTTGCTCTTACAGAGGACCTAGGTTCCATTCCCAGCCCTTCTGTGGGCACTGCATGACATGAGTACACCTACTTTCATGCAGGCAATACACTCATACACATAAAATAAATAATAATAAATAAAATATTCTTTTAAATTGACTAGGAAGCAAAGATTAAAAAAACATGTATTGCCTTAAAGGTATATATTTA